TTTCAAAACACCAATAGACTTTTCATCTTCAATAGCGTGTTCTAACTCTGATGAAGTGTTGTCTTGAAGTGGTTTGTCGTATATTTGTTTCTCTTCATCCATTGAGGATGCCTTCACTTCGGAATTGACTGATGATGGCATTATGAAAAAGGAAAGGAAAAAGAATAAACCTTTAGACTAAGTGAGTTGGAGATGAATAGTGAAAGAAGGTGTTGACTCTTTTTCCAAAGTCAGGTGGGGAATAGGGATATATCTCTTCCCTTTTATATTATTTTCTTTTTCGAACCATCCTTATTCCACTATTGTTACTTTTAGGCAAATTGATTGAAATTCCACATTATTAAAGAAAACAATAAAAAAGAAGCGACGCAGATACTTGTTTGAATTGCTTTTTTTTAAAAAAAAGTTTTCAGTGCCTAGCAAAATGTCGTCTATATTTCTTGGTTTTGTGTAATATATGTATGCAATTTTCCGGATAACTAAACGTAAATAGCTAAATGTCGTCTAGTTCTTCTATTTTAACCGCCATTACCTATCATTAGTTTCCACACGGTGATCGATTCATATTTTCACTACACTTACATAGGCATTAGCCAAAATGATGCTTTGTATTGCCCATGTCTGACATGAGTTTGTGGCTATGTTCGTAAAACTTGTCGATGGAGATAAATTTAAAAACTTACAACTCATTATGTCTGACTTTTATTGGAGCAGGTCAACACTAACTATAAAATAGGTGGCTCAGTTTAGTTTGCTCAATAGAACGTGTAGCTTTCATCTCACCATTTACATAGTAAGCACAAGCATATTGCATTGCTGACAGAGTTTTAACAATCTTTCAAACTGGCTGAAAGTTAAGCCATCTCAAATTTAACATTGAATCATAAACAATACTTTCTAGAAGAGCAGATAACAGCAGTTGTTACTTCTCCGCTCGTTCACAAGCTAATTACTCTAGACTAGTGAGATTTTCTTTGTGGCGTTGTTTTTTCTAATTTTAGTTTCTTTCGGCGTTTAAACCCCATAAAAGAAAAGACAACTATTTTTAAACTTTTTTTTCTTGTCCTCTCCTGCGGAAAATTTTTTCTCGTAACTCATTCCGAATTTAAACTTGGCTTAACGAACTCTAATGATTTCCTGTTTAATCTAGTGAATATAATCCCTTATGGGTCTTCACTAAACTATTACTGATTCCAAGAATGGTTTTGTATGTTTTCAGCGAGTGCTTTGGAAATGAATTGTCAATGTATCTTCTATCTTTATATTTTTACTATTGGCTCCTCTTTTTTTTCGGTGTCTGATGGATAAGATAAATTTGTTTTAAATAGCCAGTTGTGCATATATCGATTCCATCAGCAAAAAGTCGTGCATTCTAAGACTAGGAATCCGTATAATATGTCACAGGAAACATTTATAATTAGAAAATGGTGCAAACAGGTGGAGACAGAGTTTCTAGTGTATAACAAACGATTGTTGCATTATAATAGTATAGAAATAACTTATAGAACTATATAAACTACGTAGGATATAGACCATATTTCAAGGTCTATTACTACTGAGGAATTTAGAATAGGACTGCAATTAGAATGGCCAAATCAGGTGATTATTGCAGCAATCATTTTCTAAATATGTTCCATTACATCTAGTATATTATTTCTGATGAGGCAAATTGTATACATCGGGGCTTAATCAAAAAGCGTAAAATTTTTCAATTCTTCAAATCTCTTGAGCTAGTTTCATATTACACCATTATAGCTGTCAATGGCATGTTTTTGCCGCTATGTGTATTGAATCTACTTGACCGCTCGTGATGAGACCGTTTGTTAAAAAGTTTGTAAGGTTTTCTATTTTAAAATTTTCCTGACCTTTATGTCAAACAAGTGCAAAATTAGTGACTGTCTGGGCTATTAATTGGTTCAAGATTCCACTTTACAAAGCACAAAGAGACCGGCATTTGCTCTATCTCTCTAGTCACAGAAGACCGTTTTCTTATTTATTGTCCCACTTGGTACTTTGATGTTGTTATTCTCTCCTTCTGTGACATCGTCTAAACCTGAAGAATACAAGTTGCAGGGCATTTATACTGCCATTGCAAGTTTAGATTTATTGGGTTACGTTTTGTGGCAAATCCATACGTGCAGACTCTATTGTTCTTGGCCCTCTTTAAGAAGAAGATTATGCAAATATTCAGGACAACAGCTTCAAAGACGAAATACATTTTACAGCAGTGGTAGTGAGACTTCGCGCGATGAGGTCTAAACGATTTCAATGGTACATGCAGCAATCATAGAACCAAAGGATCAGTTAAGAGTAACTAAAAATGTTTATTCCTGCAACAGGTGAGTATAAAATTGAACGAGTAGGTAAAAAAAAATGAACCAATTGCCGGGGTAGTCGTAAATGAATACTGATCGGGATTACGCAAAATTGATTTTTTGACAATTTCTTTTTCTTTCTCTCTTCGTCACAATTGTTTTTTCAAACCAACACAAAATTAAAATGTCGTTTAATTTGATCAATTTGATCAATGAATAAGTAAGAGGGTGGAAGAACAGAAAGTAATGACTTATATTCAGTGCAGTTATTAACTGTGATGTGGTTAGTATGTAGTATATACTAAAAGGTCCAATATCTTGTTAGATAATCTATATATGAAAAATGACAGTAGGATGATGAAATAGATAAAAAAAAATGTCTTGACATAGTTCTAGAAATGTATTTATTTGCGATTACGGACAGACAAAAAAAGAAATGAACTTTAAATTTAAATTACACAAAATTGAATTTTTGTTGCTTTGTTTCTGTCACTCTTTTGGAAAATGTCGCTATTGTTCTACAGTCAAAGGAGATGCGATGAGAAAGCATGTTGAGTTCAAAATTTATTGTATTTGTTTTGATTTAAGCCATGAAAGGACAATTTCAACATAAGAAATGGGTCATTGAGAAGCTGAAAACTTTTTTATGTGATATGCGAGTGCTAGCATTGTTCTAATCTTTTCATTCACTCATATCATCTGTTCTTGTACTGTCATTTATGACACTATACTTTGCTTTTGTTCTCTTTCGACGTCTTGGCAATGCTGGGTTCTTTTGTTATTCAACCCAACAAAATTTACACTTCCGTTCCAGAAGGAAAATCTTTTCTCGTAATTGGTTTTCAATTTAATCTGGGCATTCTCAAACAGCCGTGTCTGTGTTGCAAAGAGAGAAGTTAAGTCTCTTTTGAAAGTATCCAATTCACTCAGCCCCTTCTTCATTTTAACTCTTTTACATTGATAGAAAGTGGATAAACGTTTTGCTGTCTTTTTTAACTAGTCGAATTGCTATGGTTTTTTATCAGATGGCATCAGTGTTGCTTTTTCTTTTTCTCCTCTGATGAAATAGATTAAACTGTCGTTTTTTAGCCCATTGTGCATATATTTTACCAATGTTGCAAAAACTATTCTACTTTTCATAAATATGACGCCAAACTAAATACAGATTGACAAGACAATACGGCTAAAAAGTTGTTCAAAAGGCTTTAGCGGGTGAAGTGCATTTTAACACGTTTAGGTATTTTAAGTAACTGGACATACATACAAAAAAAGCTTGTTCGGTTCTTCTAGATCTCCCCAAAGAGGAAACGCAGCTGCTCGTAAATTAAAATCGTGCATTAAAACATTACTCTACAAAGATATCACCACCTAAGCCTTCTCGCTCTTTCTAAAACTAAAATCTTTGATGAAACTACCCAATGAGTCTTTGGCATTCTCTTCCTCAACATTGTCAATCGTTTGTTCTCTTGTAAGCTTTCTGTCTCTCAAGAACAATGCGCAAATAATCATGGGTGCAACAAAACATATAGCAACGATTATCAATAATCTCTGAACTTCACCATAAGCTTTTGTGGCACCTTGTCTCTGGGATGTGTTCCAAGCATAGGTTTCTGCAAAGACATACGGACTGCCATAAACACTTACAGCTGTAGTTGCATCAAGGTATTTTTCCAACCGCTTAAGTAAAGTTTGAGACCAAATGGCACCAGCAACGGAAGCACCGACAGCAGAACCAATTCTGTATAGAGTGTAAACAGCGGATGTAATAACTGCCATATGTTCGTGATTAACACAACTTTGAGCAGTGACTGCAAGCGAGGAGGAAAAGAATCCTGTACCAACACCCATAAGTACTTGACCACCAATAATACCTCCGTGGGCACTCAATGTTGATCTGTAGTGGTACATAAGACCAAATGCAATCATCCACAACGAACACCCAAAGATGACAAAACCTTTCAAGCGGCGGATGTAGACGATGAATAACCCAAAGATTCCACCACAAAGTGTTGATGCAAATGACCCAAGACTGGTAATTCTGGTTGCCGATTTCTGAGTTTCGTTAACGGCAACAACCAAAACTGTGTATAACAAGTTAGATTCAACGGCAAAAACGAAATCAAACAAGAATGAGATTAAACCAGCCGACCAAATACCACGGTCTTTCATCAATGAAAATGGGATAATTGGATCTTTGGCAAAGTATTCCCACACAGCGAATACTGGAAGCAAAACACAACCAATGACAATAGGAGCAATGATGTTACCTTGCTTCCACTTCTCACTTGTACCACCAGCCAAAGTCAATGGCACCAAC